GCAGTGGGATCATAATTAACAAGCTGTCACCTGGGACTGATTGTGATGAAGAGCCACCTGAGAACAAGGCCACTGGGAACGCCCAGGAGTGGCGGGACCTGACAACAGATGCTCTGAGTGTGTCACAGCAGTGAGCGAAAAGAGACCACAGCGAAACCAGTCCTCCTGCGGTGTCTCTCCAGAACCCTCTGCTGACAAAACTGAACATTATGCCAGCTGGCAGAGGACAGATATTAATCAAATCCTGTTCTAATGTTGCAAATGAGGGTGATCAGAGTGGACTTTGAGGTGAGAAACAATAAGCTGATGGATAACTGGCGCGCCTCGTGAAGGGAGGATGGTAAACGGGAGAGGGGAACGGGCTCTGCTCCCGCCGGGTGTTCAGATGTGCGGCAAACGCCCTCACGTGTCATTCTCAGCTAAGCTCGCGAGAATGCCACGAGGTGACTTCTCCCTGCTTCCCACTTAAACGCCAACAATACAAAAAAAGCGGGAGGAGGGGAAAGCTCTTATCAATATCAAAAAACCAAGACTGACAGCTGAAGTCTCTGAGGATTTCCTCCTGATTTCAAAACGTATTGGAACTGAATTGAGAAACATCGCTGGAAGCCAAAGCATGCGTTTGTTTGTTTGTTGTTGTTGTTGTTGCTGTTGTTGTTTCCTGAAAAAGAAACCAAGGAACAGAGCCACGCTAACACAAGAGAGGGAAACGGGGCATTCCTTCCTCCATCCCTCGCCCCTGTAAGGGCCAGGACACTGGGCACTACTCTTCAGGGGTCACTGATCAGTCCTCTGCCCATCGGTCCTCATTGATACCACCCTTTCTGGCCACTTTGAGATTTCAGGTCAGGAAGTATAACGATCTTGGCAGAGGTGGGGGTGAAAGCAAGTGGAGAGGGGAGGGAACCACTGGCAAAGGTCACTGAATCCTGGCAGATCACTGACCCAAAGGTAAGAATGCTACAGAGTCCTAAAGGATGCTAGCAGCGTCAGGACCCTGAGATAAATTTCGGAATAAAGGCTCGCAGCGTTTTTATACAGTGAAACCCCGCTGCCACTGTAAACAGTGCAGCGAAGCAACGTGCCCTGGGCTCTCACAGCAGAGATCGATGGAGGCGAAACATAATTTTAAAGAGGCAAATATCTATCACACAAATGCAAACCGAACAAAAGAAAAGCAGAGGTGGAAATTTTAATTCCAGTTGAAGTAGAGCACAAAGCCAAAAGCGCTTAAAGCGGCCAAGGGTTGGCATGAGGCATGACCCTGATAAAGATGAAACAGCCACAGGAGGTCACGCACCTACTTGTTTAACATCAAACTACAAGAGGCCAGAACTGTTTGAAATACGAGGAAAAACTAGAAGCAGCACAACTGCTTGGAAGGTGACGCTGCATTCTCAACGTTTTGCAGAGCAGGTGGAAAGGAAAATCTATCGGCGGGAAAGTGTGAACGCTGAAAAGAGATGAGCAGCCGGAAGTTCCAACCACTGTCGTCAGCCCCGGGAAAGGAAATAGTGTCCTTCTTCAGAAGGTTCGGCACTGGAGGACCTGATGGGGACACGTTAGGAGGGCTCAAGAGATGTTACAGTCACTGTTTCTGCTGTGTCCGTGCGACCGGAAGGACAGAATTCCGGTGTAGGATGGACCACGTGCTCATCAGCAAGTCTTCCCTACCAGTGACTTCTTCTACTCCTGACCTTGTGAATTTTCCAAGTCGATAACAAGCGTCGTGATTACCTGCAAGCTAATCCACTCGGATAGGCAAATCCACCTACTAGTGCCTCGGTTATATCTCAGACACGCTCCAAATCCCACTGCATTAATCACAAAGATCGTTCGCACTTCCCAAAGCCGTGGGCACAGTCCTGGGTTGGCTGGGGGTCAGCCTGACACACTAACACAGGGAACGCCATGGCAGGTCATGCAGGACCTTTTCCTGAAGTGGCGAGAGCTGGGAACATCCAGAGAGTAGAAGTGAACTGAGCACTTACAGAGAGCACTGGGGACCAAAACCTGGAATGCTAAACTCGGTTTTCAAGACTAAGTGGTTCACGATCGGCAGACGAAGCCCGAAGGGTCATAAACTGGGTAGCCATCGCAGCAGAATGGGAAACGAGATGAAGAAAGAGATCAAAGCCAAAGGGTCCAAGCCAAGGATCGCAGACGTCACTGGGGAGCTGGACTTAGGTTTGTTGGCCTTCGCTGAGGTTCTGTGGGCCAGTCAGGCTGTGTTAAAGACACGATGTTGTAGGGTAAACAGGCCAGTGGTCATTACTGGTTAAATACGGAATGGATAACACATCTCCTACCGCCAGACATCTGTCAACTCTCCCTTACCCGTTTTAGTATTAACGGAATTCAGGTCATAAGGGGTAAGAGGGAGGTAGCCAGGAATCCCTCTCACTATGCCCAGAATTTGAGGGTTTCTCATTATGGTCTATCTACATCTACAACTGTGATTGATACAAAGATGCAAAGAGACTTTGAGAGAGAGTACCTAGGGATTCAGACTTTAAATCTGTTCACAAAGGAAATATATGGGATCTACTAGATTCCCTGTGTATCACAATTTACCATACTGCGCTGATTTGCTGGCAGGAAGGAAAAGCCAATTTGCATGGTTCCTGTCAGTCACATGTGGTTTGGAAATGCCAATGCATTCCAGATACACTCTGTGTAAACTGGAGAATCATATCCTATTTCTACTGGTTTGCATGCATGCATATGAAACTCATTTCTCCCACAATGCCACATGAAAATAGGTGAAGAATTAGCAGCAGTGGTCACAGTTAATGAACTTCTTTGTCAAAACCTCGCAGCTGTGATGGTGAGGAGAATTCTCATCCCTCGGGTCTAGAGAGACTGTGACTTCTCCATTTTAAGCTTGCTTGTTCGGTTCTATTCTGTGGAGCGCTGAGAAATAAAATCTGTAACTGTCACTCGGCACACAGTTTCTGATACCTACTATGTGCCGAGCCCTCTGCTAGGTACTGAGACATACCGAGCAGAATTTCCAATGCGAGGAGCTCAGAGTTTGGTGGGAAAGAACAAGTAAATAAATAGCTACCACCAATGTGACTGCTGCTGTTGTAGAGTTGTAGGGTTGTGTACAATACCTTATGGAAACAGGGCGGGAGTCTGCCAAAACTCCACAGAAAAAAGGTGAATCCTGATGGGGAAGTATGAGTTGAAATGAAGAAGGACTGGAAGGCATTCAAGAAAGTGGGAACACTATGTGCAAAGACACGAAGCTCATCAAGAACACATGTTGCAGGGTCCTGAAAGAAATTCTGTATGGCTTGAGGCCAGAGGTAGAGCCAGTAGAGAAAATAATTTGAAAACACATGAGAAAGGCAATAATTCTAGTAAACAATGCTGTTTTAATAGTCCACGTTCTTGTGTTAGTGTTCGAAGATGCTTGCTCACGAAGAAGACTCCGAAGTTGCGGATGAACTAGCTAATATTCCGACGTGCACCATCTCGACTCCATGCCTTGCTGTTTCTCCCATCCTGGCACTTACAACAATACCTGGCACATAGTTAGCACTTACTTCACATAAAATACTATTACCGCATGGGGCAGACAGCCTCTAAGATGGTCCCTAATGATTCATGCCCTGGTGCAAACCCCTGCCCTTGAGTATAGAGTGGACTTATTGACTCATTTCTAAGTAACAGCATATACGAGAAGTCAGGGGTTGTCACTTCCAACACTGCGTTATAAAAAGACTGTGTGGCTTCCCTTTTGGGCAAGTGTCTCATGTACTCAAACTTTCTGGCTCTCTTTGTCTCTTGGGTCACTAGTTGCCATGTCATAAGAACACTCCGGCAGCGTAAGGAGAAGCCCACGTGGCGAGGATCTGAGCCACGCCTAGGTGAGCATGCCCACTGTCGGCACCACGGGAGTGAGCTTGGATGCAGAACTTCTGAGGCCTGCCAACGGCCACATGAGTGAGCCTGGAAGCGGGTTCTCCAGTTCCACTCAAGCCTTGAGGTTTCTGCAGCCCTGGCCAACAGCCTGATGGAAACCTCAAAAGAGATATCTAAGCCAAGAGACACCCAGATGATTTGCATCTACAGAAACTGTGATAAGCCACTCAATTTTGGTATAATTTGCCACAAAGAAAAGGAGAGTCCATATACTATACTAGTATGGTCTACTTCCATTCCCTAATCGAGGCTGGGTTTCTGGTATACCTAGGTCGAGTATGGCAGCAACAAAGCTTCTCCTTGGTGATGGGGCACTGCCTGGAAACCCAGCTTTGGTGACTAGGATCCCAATCGCCTGACACCCCACTCCTCAAGGGACTAACCCCTGTTACCTACTGCCCCACTCAACTGACTGACCATTCATAGAATGAGTCCAGCCCAGCTCCGGCACAGGTCATTGTCTGGTGTGCTCCCTTCCCCTCTGGGGCCCACCGTGGGCATAGCCAAAGTACAGTCGCTCTACTAACTATGGCTGAAAGTCCAGGAAACCTCTATCTACATGACAATAGTCACAGACGTCCACAGAAAGACGCGTGTAGCTAATGTATTCCTGATTCCCATCTGTAACTCTAATTGATTATATGATGTCTTAGAAACTAAATGTTTACATTGCTGAGGTGGGAACGAGTGGAAAAACATATTGCTTTGGGAACGCTGACATTTTGGCAGAGAATTTTTGGTAGTTGGAAATAACAATGCTGACTTAAAGGCAGTGGTTTTATATGTAACAAAGATTTTAAGACCTGGTAAAGATGTTGAATATTTACATAAAAATTATGCTCCGCTAAGGAAAGAAGAACAAAATAATGCTTCTACCAATCGTTCTTTGCTTGTTTATGTCTTTTTAGGAGTTCTTAGACCCATTTTTTAGGTAGCGATTCAGCACCCACAATGCTATATATGGAAATGATAGCAGTTCATCACAGCCACAAGAAAAAGAAAGGAGAAAAGGAAGGGAGGGGACTTTGTACCTCTGTCCCTGATGATTCCGCCCCTCATGCTCTGGGATGCAATTATTGGGGGCTGAAAGACTTGTGTGGGAAGATGTCCTTAGAGCCACCGCTGAGATGCCCACCAGCGAGGATGAGAAGTTCAGCAGCGCTGCGGTGGTATGGTGGGCGAGGACGTCCGGGCGATGGGTCACATTGATAACCAGTGGGTTCTGCTGGCATGACAGCTCATAGGTTCCTGAAGAGAAACAAGGACGTGAATAATATTCTGCACCATTTTTCCACATCTAGTATTCACTGTATCCTCTCAGCGACTCTGTGACGTAGGCGAGGTACCGACCAACATCAGAGACAGATGTGAAGCTAACTCTTGGGTCTAATGGATTGTCCTCCAGTGGATAACTAAATGGATAACTGTCGGACTCACCAAGAGAGTGGTTGTTTCCATTGACATCAGTCAGGTGGAGGGTCGCCGTTGGCCTCGGATGTTTCCCAGATGCCAGGCCATCAGATGCTAAGAAGACGAAAATTGCCACGGCCACTCCTGGTCTACTGAAACACACCTGGGCATAAGCACACGTATGTATGAGCCATTATTCCCCCTAAATGGATAACTGTCGGACTCACCAAGAGAGTGGTTGTTTCCATTGACATCAGTCAGGTGGAGGGTCGCCGTTGGCCTCGGATGTTTCCCAGATGCCAGGCCATCAGATGCTAAGAAGACGAAAATTGCCACGGCCACTCCTGGTCTACTGAAACACACCTGGGCATAAGCACACGTATGTATGAGCCATTATTCCCACTGGGCTATCAAGGCACGTAAAGTAAGAGCTCCCTTCTCCCTTATGAGTGAGAAAAATATGGAGTAGGCACAGAAAGATACTCAAGCTTACACCAAAAGTTAAAATTAGATAAAAAGAAGATAAATTTCAGCTATGAATTTCAGCAAGCGTTTCTTTTTTACTTGGACCTGTCTTTCTTTAAATTTCTCAGAGAAGATCGATCATTCAAAGAGACTATGGCTTGAGATGTTTCTTTTTTACTTGAACCTGTCTTTCTTTAAATTTCTCGATCATTCAAAGAAGATCGATCATTCAAAGAGACTATGGCTTGAGACAATTAGCCATCATATAACCAGCCAATACCTCCTCATCTCCAAAGTGAGAGGAATGGACAGGAGGACAGTCACCAAGCTAACATTTTGTTCTGAACTGCCACAGCTAATTATCCTTCCCCGACTCCCTGTCTTCCCCTAAAATCTTGATCAGACCCTTTCGCTTAGCATGCGGTCTATGATGTCGGGGAGAGGTTATCGCAGAGTCTGTTTTCTGAGATTAGAACCTGCCGAACTGTTTATTCTCATGCAGGTCTCCTGGTGCCCCAAATATTTACATCCTATCCATGACTAGAAAATAAGCCACCAGTGAAGCCCAGGAAACCCTGCCTATTTATAAGGAATATCCCTCGATGCTTAGGCTGATAACAATAAAACTGTTTTACGAAGTCAACCATGGATGCATTGTCCCTGGAAATCCTTTAATATAAAAGAAAACATCTAGGAGACTGAAGGATGGCCCGGAGAGCTTATTTTCCACACTGAAAATATTTGATGCAGTCATTCTAGTTTTATTTCCTATAGCTCAACGTTATTCTTCATTTCTGTTGAGAATAGGTTCCAACCTTCCCTGGTGTGACAAGGGTGTTAGTTTCTGAGACACTGTATGTACTCCCCTAGCTTTTTATCAGGTTCTGGGGGTGAAGAAGCCCCAAGAAAACTGTCCTCAGGGTAAAAGCAGGGTGCAACATCTGATGGCAGGGACCTCCTCTGAACACGGGGAGCAGGAGAGTAGAACATGCTTTCCATTTTAACGAGAATTCCTCCTTGTCCGCAGACTGACTTCTCCTAGTCTCGGCGGCATGTTTACAGTGTCCATTTGCACTGCTGGCTTAATGAGGGCGACTTTATGGTCAGTGCAGGACACCTCTCCCTTCTTCCTCTCCTCCTTTGAGGGAAGGACAAGCCACACTCTCTTTTTACGGTGTCTTTCCAACCCCTCCACCTTTTCATTTCCCCTCTTTGAAGTAATAAATATTCCCTTATAACCTAGGAAACACCCAGACCCATAGGTTATGGCTTGCAATACGAGGTCCTTTGTTCCCAGCTGGATGAGGGCTAGACATGAAACACACCATAAGGTAACCAACGACCTAACGCAAAGCCCTCAACTCCGACGGCAAACGACATCAAAGTCCCCTGGGAACGCCCATGACCTCTTCCTTTTCATACGCCACAAAAGAGACCTGAGCACTGCAAGAAAGTTCTGGGTCATTTCCTGAGCCAGGAACAGGCAGAGTCCAAACAAGTACCTGGCGGCTTTACCCCAGGGGGCCTCGGGCTTGAAGAGTGGGGTGGCTTCAACAGGGCACGGGGGGGGCTCAGTTTTCCCATCTCCGTTGGGGCCCCAGATAGAACCACCCGTGTGAAACTAATTAGCGGGTGTCAGTCTCATGGTGTGGGTCTCCCTATGCCCCCAAATGTCCACCTCATCTGGCATCTTCTAGAAGTGCTGCTGCCTTGCTATACGGGTCCTTGAACCCAAATCGCTTGAACCCAAGCTAGCTCCTGGTGGCAGTGTCTCTGTGCCTTGATTTGGGGGAAGCCGCTATGCCAGGATTTCCAGGCCGTGGCTTATATAGGAAAAGCACAGGCGAGACTTACAAAGGCGACACAGGCAGAGCGATGCTGGGCTACGTGAAGCAAGGCAAGACAAGGGTCCGATCGAGGTGCCAGATGCCCAGTCTCAGGCATCCCCTCTCACGGGGACACGGAAGACGCAACCAGACTTCATTCTCATCCAAACACCAAGCAGGCCCCACAACAGCAACTGGGTGCAGGGGAAGCATAAACTCTCTCACACAGCTGTGGGGGCCTCAACATCAGAGATGAGTCTGAATGTCCACATATGGGTATGAGCCACTTGGATGGGGTGAAGGGAACCAAGCGAGGTCACCATTCTGGAGAGAGTGTCAGCCAGGCAGAGCCCTGGGTTTGACTCTCATCTCCATCCTTACTCACTAAGCAAGTCTGAGCAAACCAGCTCTCCTCTGAGCCAGGGCTTCCCTACCCGCGTCTGAGAAACAGACACATGATCCCTCTCACACGGCTACGACGAGGAGTAAATAAAACCACGTGAAAACACAGGATGGTGCCTGTCATCCCATAAGGACTCAGTGTTCAATAATCTTATTTCCAAAAATAATTTTTTTTAAAATTCTGTTTACACTTCAGGAAGACCAAGGTAAAAATAACATTTTAAAAAGTAACATAGAGCACTATGCTTTTCTGAAGTGGATGGATGAAAACATTGCATAGATGCTATTTTAAATTGGTACGTGTAGAAATGCAAACTGGTACTCTCGGTGAAAACTGGCAGAATCCGAGGCTCTTGGTTTGGACTGTATCTCTACAGTCCAAATGGAATGGAATCCATGAAAGATACATTTTACACACATAGAACTTTTAATAGACTTTTCAGGAAAGCCAGTTCAATATACAGTTATTAAAAACCTACTTTCGCTATAGACAAACTTCTAGGATTACCAGTGTAATTAGAATACTAAAGGTGTATTTCTTATTCAAACAAAGATGATATTTTTAAAAGTTGCTCTTTCCACAGCCCAGCCACAGCTATTTTAATATGTAGAATTTATTATTTAATGTAAGTAATACATTTTATGTATCTATATATGAAAGAGAGGCAGCAGCTGGAGCAGAAAATCCGGCCACACAAAGCTTTATTTATCCCATGCCATCTTTGGCACTACAAGTGACACCCCTCTAATCACCACACCGAATGCGTTCTACGAATGGCTGCCCCCTCCTTCAGGACTGAGCACCCACGTGCACCTCCTGGGGGACCACTCAGACCTGCAGGAGGTACCCCACAAGAGAAAACGCCAAGACGCTAAGATGTCAGGAGGATTCTGGGCTTTGTGACGCTTCATTGTTTGTGTTAACGAGGAGACTGCATTCATGTGTGGCGTGGGCAAAATAAAATTAATTCGAACATGGCTCTGATGAACAAGAAAGCCTGCAGCCGGACATCAGAAAGGAGGCAAGATCTTTCAGAAAAACAAGTAATTTTCAGGGCCGAGCAATGGTCTCGAGATAGGGAGGGACTGACTGCCGGTGAAATCCGCTCAGCGAATCCATCGCAAAATTCTTTGGCACAGAGAAAACACACATTGGACAGATGGACGGACGGACGCACAGACAGACAGAGACTGACTGACAGGCAGGCCAAGGAGAACCGGCCCCACAAACTCAGTTGCTTTTTCATCCAAAGCCCGCATGCTAACTAAGAAGAGTAAGAGTGTGAGGATGTTTTCCTCGTGCGGAATTGTCAGGGCTTAAGAAATCTCTCTTCGATCTGCCTGCTGGGTACAGACACGTTTAACGTGCTCCCAAGCCAAGAGTTTCGACTTCCAGGTCGTCCTTTGTGGTGGTCGCTGGCAAGCAGACCCTGAAAATATACCACAAACTTGAAAAGAATCTTCTCTGAGGTTTTAGAATGCTTTCGGTTAGTTACTGGGTTGTTATTTTTTCTGTGCCTTTCCATTTTCACTCCTCTGTGGCTCTCCCTGATTCCAAGGAGAAAGGGAAGGCCGCTGGGCAGGAGAAACTGGGCGGATACTACATTCTGTTTGTGCGGCGCTTTACAGTTTGCCAAGCGTGACCACGTGCTGTGCTGGAGCCTCCACCAGGCTCATGGGGTTTTATTTGAGATTTTTGTACTGTAATATCCCTAGGATACAAAGGTTATATTGTAGAAGCAGGATTCTACAGAGCTTAAGTGACTTCCTCTAGCTAAATGCTAGGGGAATTTCCAACTTTAAGTTCTGTACTCTTTTTTTAATTTTTTTAATATTTTGTAACTTAAAAAAATGATTTTATTATTAGTTTCAAGTAGACAGTACATTGGTTAGACATTTACATAGTTTATAAACCGATCCCCCTAATTGCTCTTTCCTCTGGCTCTCCGCCTAGCCATTACATTAATGCTGACTGCATGCCCTATGCCATGCTCCCCATCCCCATGACCATCTATCAACTACTAATTTGCACTTCTTTACTTTTGACTGCACAATGGTTCTTAATTTGGGGTGAGCAGAAAATCACAGATTCCTTAGAAAATGTGTTGACACTTGTTCCCTCTCAAAAAAATGAAGTCACACAAACACTTAGGCATAAAAGCTTCATATAATTTCAAGGAGCTAAGAGAACACTTTAAAAACTAGTAGGAGTACATTTGTATTTCTATGACTGGTTTTTAAATATGTTTTCTTATCTCCCTGAAATTGTAGGAAGCTTTTATAATAGAAGGAAACTAGTAATGTTGTGATAAGTATGTAAGGGGGAAAAGGGGTACTAGATAGATTTAGTGGAGTGATCACTTTGTGAGTTATAAGATCTCTTATCATTATGCCGTACAATCGAAACTAATATATTATTGTATGCCAACTATAATTGAAAAAACTCATTGAATTATACACTGTAAATATGAACCAATAATTGTCTATTATATTTCAATAAAACTAAAAAAAAAGAAACCATTCTCAAAGGAAAGAATAGTAGTCCCATTAAGGGATCAACGGAAATCAGATTAAGAATACGTGCACTATTTGTTGACCCATATGCCTTTTTTGTAGGTGAAAAATTATCGAATATTAGAAATTTTATATGGACCATCTAACTATATGGAT